TGGCCCCACCAGGCAGGTGCTGGCGGTGGCGGCTGGCAGCTGACCCCGTCGCCCAGCTGCCGTCCGCCCAGCTCCCGTCCGCCCAACTGCCGTCCGCCCGGCTGCCCTCCGCCCAGCTGCAGTACGGCGTCCTGCTGTCCACTCAGCTGCTGTCCACTCAGCTGCTGTCCGCCCAGCTGCCGCACACCAAGCCTTCTCTAACACAGCCCCATCACCTGCCTGGTACACACAGCCCCATTACCTGCCTGGTACACACAGCCCCATCACCTGCCTGGTACACACAGCCCCATCACCTGCCTGGCACACACAGCCCCATCACCTGCCTGGTACACACAGCCCCATCACCTGCTTGGCACACACAGCCCCATCACCTGCCTGGTACACACAGCCCCATCACCTGCCTGGCACACACAGCCCCATCACCTGCCTGGTACACACAGCCCCATCACCTGCCTGGTACACACAGCCCCATCACCTGCCTGGTACACACAGCCCCATCACCTGCCTGGTACACACAGCCCCATCACCTGCCTGGTACACACAGCCCCATCACCTGCCTGGCACACACAGCCCCATCACCTGCCTGGTACACACAGCCCCATCACCTGCCTGGTACACACAGCCCCATCACCTGCCTGGTACACACAGCCCCATCACCTGCCTGGCACACACAGCCCCATCACCTGCCTGGTACACACAGCCCCATCACCTGCCTGGTACACACAGCCCCATCACCTGCCTGGTACACACAGCCCCATCACCTGCCTGGCACACACAGCCCCATCACCTGCCTGGAACACACAGCCCCATCACCTGCCTGGCACACACAGCCCCATCACCTGCCTGGCACACACAGCCCCATCACCTGCCTGGCACACACAGCCCCATCACCTGCCTGGCACACACAGCCCCATCACCTGCCTGGAACACACAGCCCCATCACCTGCCTGGTACACACAGCCCCATCACCTGCCTGGTACACACAGCCCCATCACCTGCCTGGCACACACAGCCCCATCACCTGCCTGGCACATAGAGCTCTGCAACACAAGACAATTTAACACACGCCGTTGATGATGCGCTTAGGAGTTGCGGGGCGCTTATTATTCTCAAAAGCGGAATACACGATCATACAGCTGCTATGATTGGCTAAGCACTCAGTGGTTCAAGACACTGTGAAGGAGCGAATAGTGAGAGCCACTTAAGCCTCATTCCAGGTTGCCAAGGCCTGGCGTACGGCTGCGTGGTGGTGTCGGAAGCCGATGATGAATCAGATGATGAGTCACAATAACGTGGGTGATGATATGACGACCAAACCAAACTTCAGAAGAGGAAGAAATGTCGGCGTTTCGCTCCGTCCTGGACCATTCTTAAGTGGGATGATAGTCACTATACTCTCAAGTCTCTAGTCAACATTATTTATGTCTGGTCATTCCGGGCATTTTGCTTATTGTGAAGAACTTCTGGAGTCTCTTGTAATCGGTATGCCCATACTTCAGGTTCATGGCCGGTTCTTAACTGTTGTTTTCCTCCTGATATGACGGTGAAGCCATTTGGAACGGGTCTTAGCTCTTTATGGCGTGTTGTCACAGCCTGCCTCTCTTCTCCTGCTGAGGTACTCGTTCCTGACCCTCTGCTGTCGCCCTCTGTTGCCCGTTCTGTTGTCCCTGTGGGTCCTCTATGAGCTCTTATTGATTGATTTATCCCTTACAGTCTTGCTTAAACCCTGTATTGCGCCAGGACTCTTCCTCTCCTCTCTGTAGCAAGGGACAAACTTGGGAGATGTCTCCTGATACTGCTGGCTCAGGATGTGTTATGTTTTGTCTGGTCAATTCTCTGAATTCCGTTTTCCCGGTATTCCTTTTATAAGTGACCTCATCTCTTTACTGCTTACTTTACAGTATGTCAGCCGTTTACCGTCTTTTACCATGGTGATAAATTGACTTACATGCCCACTCCTTCTGAGGTCAGGTCTTTGCTGGTTCGTCACGACTCATTTTTGACAAGTTTGTTTCTTCTTCCTAGAATGTGATTTGTCTGTGATACCTGGTGACGTGTTGGTGAGTGGACCACGTGCCTCGGGATGGTCAAGATGAGTTACCAGATGGAACTATTGTCCGTCTGTTAATGTTTGTTATAGTTGAAGTCTGTGTGGAAGCCTGCCAGTGTGTTGGTGGAGACACCCCCCCCCCCTGCCAGTGTGTTGGTGGAGACCCCTGCCAGTGTGTTGCTGGAGACCCCCTGCCAGTGTGTTGGTGGAGACCCCCCCCTGCCAGTGTGTTGGTGGAGACACCCCCCCCTGCCAGTGTGTTGGTGGAGACACACCCCCCCCCGCCAGTGTGTTGCTGGAGACCCCCTGCCAGTGTGTTGGTGGAGACCCCCCCCCCTGCCAGTGTGTTGGTGGAGACACCCCCCCCCCTGCCAGTGTGTTGGTGGAGACACCCCCCCCCCTGCCAGTGTGTTGCTGGAGATCCCCCCTGCCAGTGTGTTGGTGGAGACCCCTGCCAGTGTGTTGGTGGAGAGACCCCTGCCAGTGTGTTGCTGGAGACCTCTGCCAGTGTGTTGCTGGAGACCCCTGCCAGTGTGTTGTTGGAGAACCCCTGCCAGTGTGTTGCTGGAGACCCCTGCCAGTGTGTTGGTGGAGACCCCTGCCAGTGTGTTGGTGGAGAGACCCCTGCCAGTGTGTTGCTGGAGACCTCTGCCAGTGTGTTGCTGGAGACCCCTGCCAGTGTGTTGTTGGAGAACCCCTGCCAGTGTGTTGCTGGAGACCCCTGCCAGTGTGTTGCTGGAGACCCCCCCTGCCAGTGTGTTGGTGGAGACCCGTGCCAGTGTTGCTGGAGACTAATGCCAGTGTGTTGCTGGAGACCCCTGCCAGTGTGTTGCTGGAGACCCCTGCCAGTGTGTTGCTGGAGACCCCCCCTGCCAGTGTGTTGGTGGAGACCCGTGCCAGTGTTGCTGGAGACTAATGCCAGTGTGTTGCTGGAGACTCCTGCCAGTGTGTTGCTGGAGACCCCTGCCAGTGTTGCTGGAGACCCCTGCCAGTGTTGCTGGAGACCCCTGCCAGAGTGTTGGTGGAGACCCCTGCCAGTGTGTTGGTGGAGACCCCTCCCAGTGTGTTGCTGGAGACCCTGCCAGTGTTGCTGGAGACCCCTGCCAGTGTTGCTGGAGACCCCTGCCAGTGTGTTGCTGGAGACCCCTGCCAGTGTGTTGCTGGAGACCCGTGCCAGTGTTCAGGGCACCGTGACAATACTGTAGAGGACTGGCCCATGACATACTGAGAAAGGACAACTCGCCGGCGTGAGGACCACAGAAGACAGACTCAGGGAGGGAACCTTGAGTGGTGCACGACGGAAGAGATAAGTGTACTCGCCGGGCTTGAAGATCGCACAAGTGTTATAGTGTCCTGTGTGAAAGTGACACCTGCTGTGTTGTGTGTTGTATATGTTGACCAGACCACACACTAGAAGTTGAAGGGACGACGACGTTTCGGTCCGTCCTGGACCATTCTCAAGTCGATGGATATACTTCAGCCACGTTATTGTGACTCATCGCCTGCACGTGTTGTATATATGTGTGTATATAGTGGAGAATTACATTACTGCCAATTCCTAGGAGAAGCATTAAGGCCACCATAGAAAGTTTGTAGTAAAAAGGACCCGGTTACAGGCTATGTGAAGCTGTAACACACTTCTATCAATAATTATCTTCAGGACCCTCTCTTCCGTTTTGTGAGCCACGGAGAACAAGTTCCTTTTAGAATATTTTTAGGAGTATTGACCAGCAATGAATTGTTGTCTGTTGTATCTGAAGTCGCGTGGAAACTCACCTTCCTTCTGATGATCTCTTCGACATATTCATTAATGATCAGAACTGCCTTGCTCTACCGAGGTCCTAATCAACCTGCTTCTAACTGGAGTTGTGTGTGAGGGCGTGGTTGACATAGGCTTTCACAACACTCCGCTGATACCTATCAGGGCACTTACTCTTAGCATTACAGCACATTCCCATGAAAGTTTCCTTGGTGTAAACCGCAGTCTTAAAGCCACCATATCCTTCCGGCGACTATTTACATCTAGGAAAGGTAGTCTGCCTCCATTCTCAGTCTCGTAAGTGAACCTTAGCACTGAACTTCCGTTGACTGCGTCCTTAAGCCGCAGCAAGTGCTCAGTATCAGATACCTGCAGGAATATGTCGTCAACATATACAAAGTATACACTCGGCTTTAGGCCCATGTCAACAAGGACTTTCTGTTCCACGGTATCCATAGCAAATAGGACACCAAGGGGCGGATCCCATAGCAACGCCGTCTACTGGCTTATACATTCGCCCATCAGGACTCAGGAAGGGTGCGCCCATCAGGACTCAGGAAGGGTGCGCCCATCAGGACTCAGCAAGGGTGCACCCATCAGGACTCAGCAAGGGTGCGCCCATCAGGACTCAGGAAGGGTGCGCCCATCAGGACTCAGCAAGGGTGCACCCATCAGGACTCAGCAAGGGTGCACCCATCAGGACTCAGCAAGGGTGCGCCCATCAGGACTCAGGAAGGGTGCGCCCATCAGGACTCAGCAAGGGTGCGCCCATCAGGACTCAGCAAGGGTGTTACGGCCCTCTCGGGACGCAACGGGGTCCTTACTCTGATGTTGTTAGAGGAAGATATAATGTATCCGTTCCCAAGCCAGTAGTGGCTATCAAGGAATGAGATCCGTGACGCAAGTAACTTAAAGGGAGTAGGGAAAGAAAGTTAAGAACTTAATATAATATAATGTCCGTCACCAATAAATAATATATAAAACGGTTACACAAGGGAAGGGTGCGCCCATCAGGACTCAGGAAGGGCGCCTGTTTGGCACAGGCTTCGAGTAGCTGGCTAAGTGGATCCGGGTTTGTAACAAAGGGTGCGCCCATCAGGACTCAGTCTTCTGGGATGACACGGGAAGTACGTCCTGGATCGTGATAAAGTCTGTCCATAGTCATTCCATGGAGAGAGGCTCTCACCCCTGATGCCTGCGAGCCCCCGTAATAACTCTACAAAATCCTTTAGAGACTTCAGGCAGAAGGCTTATGGCACGTTTGGAGTTAACAGTAGGAGTAGCAGTACTTAGGGAAGGTTTAACAAAAACATGCATGTACCAGTAAAACTGTTTATTCAATAAACAAATTATCTAATACACAGTTTGACTTTACTGGAAAGTGGTGACAACATGGCTAGTATAGCATCAGAGAATCATACAACGTCTACCGGATTGATTTCGGTTCCAATGAGGAATAAAACCTGACGTGACACTTGACAACCGACCATAAACACACCTTTCCTGTCACTGTAGAGGGATGCACAGGAGCTGCCATTCCCTGCCACTCACCAACCATTCCCTACCACTCACCTCACCGTTGGCTCCGCCATCTCCCTCTGACTAAATTCTTTTCAGTGTCTTTTGGGTTCTTCTGTTGCCTCCTTCGTGAACATGATCTTAATTGATTTCTGAAAACTTTCTGCACATTGTTTTTATCCTCCACAATGTGTGTGTATTTACTATTTGTACCTGCAGGGTCGAGCTGTTAGCTCTTGGACCCCACCTTTCTAACCGTCGAGTGTCTAGTCAACTCGTCCTCAGACCAGACTCGTTAAAGCGGCGGCCACCTCACCCACCCCCCTCCAAGGTGCATTCAACAATTTTAACATATTCTGTATTCAAAACAGGTTTGTTCTCATAAATTAATATTATTATATATCAAAATTCAATGAATAGTTAGGGATAAATTAGGTGTTTAGGTTCTGTTGGTGATTAATTGTATTTGAAGTACGTGGGTGAAGAATTAACAGCCTGTCATCTTCAGGGCGAGGCTCGTTAGATTGGCGGCCGTCCCACACAGACGCATTCATAAATTATAATTCACAGTGTGTATTAAAAATTGGTGTTTGTGGGAAATTTTACCTCATTATATCAATATTATTATCTAAGAAATGTATTATTTCTATATCATATCTATATTTTACATCAGAATCATATCTCAACTATATCCTAACCCAGAATCACATCAGATTCATTATCTTATACATCAACTAGAACCTAGATAACCACTTGGTCACGTACGTCATAGGGTCCATGTGCCTACGTGACTTTGTACATGTAATCCTAAAGGATTTAGAAGCTCCAAGAACGAGTTGAGGATTGAAATAATGTTGGAACTAAATTATAGCTTCCGGTGACGTATCTTCAAATCCATATTAAATGATTAAATGTACTATTAAGTACTATCTATAGTCATTGAATCCACTATATGTTTATCTTATAATGTGACTTTATTTCAAATTAATCGGCTAGACGAGAAATAAATCATAAAATATATCAGGGCCAGTCAACCGCCAAGAGAGAGCATAGTGGCGGTAGGTGGAGTGAGAAGCGCCCACCACCAGTCGAGGCCAGATCCTAGTGTTTACAAACAGTGCGTACACGTGTACGGTGCTAGAGACCTTTAAAACTGGAATTTCACCACACAAACTTGTCATTATCCCCAGTGATTACTCTCTAAGATACTCCAAGAGTTCCCTGGACTTTATATATAAGGAAAAATTCATAATAAATTTATCTAAGAGTATAGAGTGGTCCACACGGCGTGAAGCCTCCTCCACCACCACCACCACATCATCTTAATCTTATCCTAGCAACTGCTACAAGTATCTGTCCTAGAGCAAACGCTACTAAGGACATTTCAACAGCAAAGATGCTATGTTATCATCAAAATACAGAGCCTAATCTCATCAAAAGAGATATCATCTGGCAACTTGTCAGATAGGCATTCAGATTGTATAAGTCGTAAGTATTGAGTGTTATTTGTTTTGTGTTGATTGGTCAATTTGTATGCTGTGATAACCTTATCTTACCAATAAATCTGTTTGTCGTTAAGCTGAGGGGGCAATTCCCCATTACAAGTAAGAATTTAACTTGAATCTTTTCATGCCTGAATCTCTTCATATAAATTTGAAATATATATATATATATATATATATATATATATATATATATATATATATATATATATATGTTGTACCTAGTAGCCAGAACGTCGTACTCGGCCTACTATGCAAGGCCCGATTTGCGTAATAAGGCAAGTTTTCCTGAATTTATATATTTTTCAATATTTTTCTCTTATGAAATGATAAAGCTATCCATTTCATTATGCATTAGTTAATTTTTTTTTCATTTGAGTTTAAACTAATGTAGATATATGACCGAACCTAACCAACACTAGTAACATAATTAAGTCAATAATTTATGTTCTTAATATAACATAATAATATTAATTCATATAAACTAATTGGAAACAATTCATTGAAAATAAAGAAAATACAGGAAAGACTGCTACCAAAATATACTAATATATATATATATGTCGTACTTAGTAGCCAGAACGCACTTCTCAGCCTACTATGTAAGGCCCGATTTGCCTAATAAGCCAAGTTTTAATGAATTAATATATTTTCTCAATTTTTTTTCTTATGAAATGATAAAGCTACCCATTTCATTATGTATGAGGCCAATTTTTTTTAATTGGAGTTAAAATTAACGTAGATATATGACCGAACCTAACCAACTCTACCTAACCTAACCTAACCTATCTTTATAGGTTAGGTTAGGTTAGGTAGCCGAAAAAGTTATGTTAGGTTAGGTTAGGTAGGTTAGGTAGTCGAAAAACAATAAATTCAGGAAAACTTGGCTTATTAGGCAAATCGGGCCTTGCATAGTAGGCTGAGAAGTGCGTTCTGGCTACTAGGTACGACATATATATATATATATATATATATATATATATATATATATATATATATATATATATATATATATAAAAGTAAAGGTATAAAGAATGTGTATAAGTCATCAATAATTAATTGCCATAACAATTAACATTAATTTATCATATTGAATGTACTCATACTGAACCCGACCGCAGCTGCTCCAGAAGTATTGAATCCCACGAACTTCAAATAGAACCTAAATACCTAACCTAACCTACGCCTAACAATACCTAGAATTTTAATTTATAATATTATTAGTTTATATATGAGAACAAACAGATTTTACTGTGCATTTTTAATGCACAGTATGTTAGACGTTATGAATCAGTCTGGGAGAACGGCCGTTGCTTTGACCAGCCTAGTGTGAGGACGGGCTCGCAAACCAGGTCCCTGTGAGGCTCCAACGCCCTGTGAGGCTCCCATACCCTGTGAGGCTCCCACGCCCTGTGAGGCTCCCACGCCCTGTGAGGCTCCGACACTCTGTGAGGCTCCCACGCCCTGTGAGGCTCCGACGCCCTGTGAGGCTCCGACGCCCTGTGAGGCTCCCACGCCCTGTGAGGCTCCGACGCCCTGTGAGGCTCCGACAGCCTGTGAGGCTCCCACTCCCACGCCCTGTGAGGCTCCCACGCCCTGTGAGGCTCACACGCCCTGTGAGGCTCCCACGCCCTGTGAGGCTCACACGCCCTGTGAGGCTCCCACGCCCTGTGAGGCTCCCACGCCCTGTGAGGCTCACACGCCCTGTGAGGCTCACACGCCCTGTGAGGCTCCCACGCCCTGTGAGGCTCACACGCCCTGTGAGGCTCCCACGCCCTCTGAGGCTCACACGCCCTGTAAGGCTCCCACGCCCTGTGAGGCTCCCACGCCCTGTGAGGCTCACACGACGTTCTTTGGTTGGGGCTTGAACGTGGTTTGTGTGTGAGTGTGTGCACGCTCGTGTGTGGGCGTGTATATGTGTGTGTGTGCATGTATGTACTCACCTAGTTGTACTCACCTAGTTGTGTTTGCGGGGGTTGAGCTCTGGCTCTTTGGTTCCGCCTCTCAACCGTCAATCAACAGGTGTACAGATTCCTGAGCCTATCGGGCTCTGTCATATCTACACTTGAAACTGTGTATGGAGTCAGCCTCCACCACATCACCCCCTAATGCATTCCATTTGTCAACCACTCTGACACTAAAAAAGTTCTTTCTAATATCTCTGTGGCTCATTTGGGCACTCAGTTTCCACCTGTGTCCCCTTGTGCGTGTTCCCCTTGTGTTAAATAGACTGTCTTTATCTACCCTATCAATCCCCTTCAGAATCTTGAATGTGGTGATCATGTCCCCCCTAACTCTTCTGTCTTCCAGCGAAGTGAGGTTTAATTCCCGTAGTCTCTCCTCATAGCTCATACCTCTCAGCTCGGGTACAAGTCTGGTGGCAAACCTTTGAACCTTTTCCAGTTTAGTCTTATCCTTGACTAGATATGGACTCCATGCTGGGGCTGCATACTCCAGGATTGGCCTGACATATGTGGTATACAAAGTTCTGAATGATTCTTTACACAAGTTTCTGAATGCCGTTCGTATGTTGGCCAGCCTGGCATATGCCGCTGATGTTACCCGCTTGATATGTGCTGCAGGAGACAGGTCTGGCGTGATATTAACCCCCAAGTCTTTTTCCTTCTCTGACTCCTGAAGAATTTCCTCTCCCAGATGATACCTTGTATCTGGCCTCCTGCTCCCTACACCTATCTTCATTACATTACATTTGGTTGGGTTAAACTCTAACAACCATTTGTTCGACCATTCCTTCAGCTTGTCTAGGTCTTCTTGAAGCCTCAACCAGTCCTCTTCTGTTTTAATCCTTCTCATAATTTTAGCATCGTCCGCAAACATTGAGAGAAATGAATCGATACCCTCCGGGAGATCATTTACATATATCAGAAACAAGATAGGACCGAGTACAGAGCCCTGTGGGACTCCACTGGTGACTTCACGCCAATCGGAGGTCTCACCCCTCACCATATGTGCGTGTATATGTGTGTGCGTGTGCGTGTATGTGCGTGTATATGTATGTGTGTGCGTGTATATGTGTGTGTGTGTGTGTGTGTGTGTGCGTGTATGTGTGCGTGTATATATGTGTGTGTGCGTGTATATATGTGTGTGTGCGTGTATATATGTGTGTGTGCGTACATTTATTCTTTGCGTTTGTAGCATCAAGCTCTTGGACCCGCCACTCCAGCCATCGGTTTTCTAATATAACTCCCGGCCTATTTTGCCTATCATATCTTCTACATAGGTTTACTAATAGGTGAACAGTGGCGTCAGATCAAAGGAACTCGGCCAACTTGTTTCTGCCTCAGCAGGGAATAGAACCCGAGGGGCCTTAGCCTATGACCTCCGAGTGCTGTCCACTCGGCCGCGAGGACCTGAATGCATGTGAGTATGTGTTTACGTGCGTGTGTTGGGGGTGGAGGGGGAGGGGGGGGGAGGACACCAAACCTCGTGCGTGTAAACTGCTTTTCATTCAGAAGCAAGACAGCAAGTGATGAATTAACTCGTCTTTGTTAATGTTTTGATGGGCTGCTTTAATTCATGATGTGGAAGCTCAATGGTGTTCACCAACGCACTATAGCGAGTACTTCGTCACCGCCCAGTCATCGACAAGAGCCACACTAGCAAGCACTAGCGGAACCAGTCACTGTTTGTAAACACACTGGTGGCACCTGCAGTCACTGTTTGTAAATACACTGGCAGAACCAGTCACTGTAAACACACTAGCAGGACCAGTCACTGTAAACACACTAGCAGGACCAGTCACTGTTTGTAAATACACTGGCAGAACCAGTCACTGTAAACACACTAGCAGGACCAGTCACTGTTTGTAAATACACTGGCAGAACCAGTCACTGTAAACACACTAGCATGACCAGTCACTGTTTGTAAATACACTGGCAGAACCAGTCACTGTAAACACACTAGCAGGACCAGTCACTGTTTGTAAATACACTGGCAGAACCAGTCACTGTTTGTAAATACACTGGCAGAACCAGTCACTGTTTGTAAATACACTGGCAGAACCAGTCACTGTAAACACACTAGCAGGACCAGTCACTGTTTGTAAATACACTGGCAGAACCTGCAGTCACTGTTGGTAAATACACTGGCAGAACCTGCAGTCACTGTTGGTAAATACACTGGCAGAACCTGCAGTCACTGTTGGTAAATACACTGGCAGAACCTGCAGTCACTGTTGGTAAATACACCGGCAGAACCTGCAGTCACTGTTGGTAAATACACCGGCAGAACCTGCAGTCACTGTTTGTAAACACACTGGCAGAACCAGTCACTGTTTGTAAACACACTAGTAGGACAAGTCACTGTTTATAAATACACTGGCAGAACCATTCACTGTTTGCAAACACACTGGCAGAACCAGTCACTGTTTGTAAACACACTAGCAGGACCAGTCACTGTTTGTAAACACACTGGCAGAACCAGTCACTGTTTGTAAACAGTTGGGCATCAGTGGGTACCAAATGCCCAGAGTGAAAACAAAATAGAGTGAATGAAAACGAATTAAGAACAACATTTCAAGAAATTCTCGTGTCCGTTGGCGTATCCTGACGTACTCAAGCTGTCCCGAGCCACGTCAAGCTTCCGACCAGCCGACCGACCCATCACCAACCGACCGACTCATCCTCGGAGTTCGAACGCACAACAACAACAACAACAGCAGCTGCTCCTCATCACACTCACAACAGCAGCTGCTCCTCATCACACTCACAACAGCAGCTGCTCCTCATCACAATCACAACAGCAGCTGCTCCTCATCACACTCAACAACAGCAGCTGCTCCTCATCACACTCACAACAGCAGCTGCTCCTCATCACACTCAACAACAGCAGCTGTTCCTCATCACACTCACAACAGCAGCTGCTCCTCATCACACTCAACAACAGCAGCTGCTCCTCATCACACTCACAACAGCAGCTGCTCCTCATCACACTCACAACAGCAGCTGCTCCTCATCACACTCAACAACAGCAGCTGCTCCTCATCACACTCACAACAGCAGCTGCTCCTCATCACACTCAACAACAGCAGCAGCTGCTCCTCATCACACTCAACAACAACAGCAGCTGCTCCTCATCACACTCACAACAGCAGCTGCTCCTCATCATACTCACAACAGCAGCTGCTCCTCATCACACTCAACAACAGCAGCTGCTCCTCATCACACTCAACAACAACAGCAGCTGCTCATCACACTCACAACAGCAGCTGCTCCTCATCATACTCACAACAGCAGCTGTTCCTCATCATACTCACAACAGCAGCTGTTCCTCATCACACTCACAACAGCAGCTGCTCCTCATCACACTCACAACAGCAGCTGCTCCTCATCACACTCACAACAGCAGCTGCTCCTCATCACACTCAACAACAACAGCAGCTGCTCCTCATCACACTCACAACAGCAGCTGCTCCTCATCACACTCACAACAGCAGCTGCTCCTCATCACACTCACAACAGCAGCTGCTCCTCATCACACTCACAACAGCAGCTGCTCCTCATCACACTCACAACAGCAGCTGCTCCTCATCACACTCACAACAGCAGCTGCTCCTCATCACACTCAACAACAACAGCAGCTGCTCCTCATCACACTCACAACAGCAGCTGCTCCTCATCACACTCACAACAGCAGCTGCTCCTCATCACACTCACAACAGCAGCTGCTCCTCATCACACTCACAACGACAGCTGTTCCTCATCACACTCACAACAGCAGCTGCTCCTCATCATACTCACAACAGCAGCTGCTCCTCATCACACTCACAACAGCAGCTGCTCCTCATCACACTCACAACGACAGCTGTTCCTCATCACACTCACAACAGCAGCTGCTCCTCATCATACTCACAACAGCAGCTGCTCCTCATCAAATATTAGCATCTAGACCAACAGAAGACCCTACATAAAGAACAGCTATGACAAGAACTTTGTGAATTATTTGCCAATTCGTTGGTGGCAGCAGCGAACGTTCGAATCGCCCTTCTATCACTATTTAACCCACACACTGCAAAATACAACGTAATATTGCCTTGTAAAGCTTATGTATATATGAATTATATTGTATTTTCTTAAAGATAAAACAAAATACAAATTATCGCCAATCCGAACAGAAACACCTAACCAAACCTCGTCCTAACGTTCTAGGCTGGTGTGGAGGCTGGCTTGGGGAGAATTGTGGTTCCCAGGACTCCAGGGAGCGGCTCCGAAAGTATTAAATATTTCAAGAAATATAGATCAGAAACAACATAAAAAGGGAGAATTATTATGTTAGCACGGATATTAGGCTTCAAACGCCAGCGAACCAGCATACTTGGCTTCATGCACCAGAGGACCAGTATACTAGGCTACTAACACCAGAGGACCAGTATACTAGGCTACTAACACCAGAGGACCAGTATACTAGGCTGCTAACACCAGAGGACCAGTATACTAGGCTACTAACACCAGAGGACCAGTATACTAGGCTACTAACACCAGAGGACCAGTATACTAGGCTGCTAACACCAGAGGACCAGTATACTAGGCTATTAACACCAGAGGACCAGTATACTAGGCTACTAACACCAGAGGACCAGTATACTAGGCTACTAACACCAGAGGACCAGTATACTAGGCTACTAACACCAGAGGACCAATATACTAGGCTACTAACACCAGAGGACCAGTATACTAGGCTACTAACACCAGAGGACCAATATACTAGGCTACTAACACCAGAGGACCAATATACTAGGCTACTAACACCAGAGGACCAGTATACTAGGCTACTAACACCACAGGACCAGTATACTAGGCTACTAACACCAGAGGACCAGTATACTAGGCTACTAACACCAGAGGACCAGTATAC